TGCTTGAGATGGTTCGCCTCCTACTACTGGGACCATCGTTACTACGGTACAGCAGAGCGGGAGCTTGGCTTCGCCTAAGGCGAAGCTGCTGGTTGGGCCCCCCAACCCCGTTCAAACTGAATGATGCAAAATACAGGCGGACGTACTGCCCACCACTGTATCTACGGATCTCCTTTCCCGCCCACCCGTGCAGCATGATTTGCGACGCGTGCGACCTCCACTGTTTCTTCATATGGGCGTCCTCGGCCTCTTCTGCGTGCGCCACCTCTGATGCCGACTTGACCTCTCCTACTATCTCTTCCATTGGTTCCACGCCTACTGTTCCTATCACATCTCCTACATCGCCCAAATGTGCGTAGCCATGTATAGCCAGCAGAGCAGCACATCGATGCCATCAGCTTGAACAAGGTTGTTGCCTCTACCATTTGCGATTAGAGGAGATCCTGTTCTCGGGCGGTTCGACGTTGTAGTTGCCGGCCCTGCTTGGCCAGGAAGTTGCAATACGTTCAGCATTAATCACGAATTCACGTTGCTCCCCGAGGATGATCTTCCAAATCGCACTTCCAGAAAGGCCCCCCTTTCGTCCACGACGGGGGCGAAGCAGACTTGCCACGCGGCTGCAGCGACCAGGCGCTGGATTCTAGGGGGCGGCCACGAACGTGCCCCTCTGAGCTCTCTTGCCTGTCGCGAAGGCCGCGAGCATCAATCGCCGGCCCCTGCTCCTCCCCCCCCCCACCCCTGCTGGGAATGGCGCAGGCGCCGACGTCTGGGGCGGGTGAGACATCATTTAGGGCGATCGTAACCAGATCGAGCTGCTTCCGCTGGAGCACCTTCTGTCATCGCCTGGCAGGAGTTGCGAGTGCAATTCGGATTGGAATCTGACAATCATGGACGAATATGCTATTCGCAACCGTCCCGTGGTGTTGGGTCTTCTTTTTGAACAAACAACGCCGCGCGTTCCTTCCTCCCTCCTCCACTCCCCCCCCCCCCCTTCCCCCACCCCTTGCATCTGCTCTCCGCGCGCCCGCCATTTCGGCATGCCCCTCACGAGGGCCGCGGCCCCATAGGGAGCTCCACCGAAGGCCCCAATGGGCTCGAGCGTTCGCGCGGCCGCGCCTCCGTCCGCGCGATGGCGCTGCCTAGAGGGGCCCTGGGCCCCGCGACGGCTGCCCGCCTCGTCGAGTCGGCTGTGCGCGGGGCGCTCGGGGCGCGGAGGCGCGCGGTGGCGGCGGTTGCGCGGTCTGCGGTTTCGGCGGCGGCCTTCGCCGTCGCGGCGTCGCCACCGCCCGCCGCCGCCGCTGGCGCCGGGGCGCCACCTCCTGCCCCTCGCCCTGGCGTTCCTGGCCGGGCAGGCGCTGCCGCGGCCGACCCGACCGCCGCTCGGCGCCGGCGCCGCCGACAGCGCCGCGCGGCGCGGAAAGCCGCCGCGACGCCCCTTGCAGCCGCAGGCGAGGGCGTTGGGCAGGCTGCTGGAGCCGCTGCTGCCGCTGCTGGCGCGGGCCTCGCGCTCGCCCCCGCGGCCGCTGTGGAGGCGGAGGCTGCCGACGCGGGTATGGGGGACTTCGACGACGCATGGGCCGACGGGCTCGCGCGTTTCCCCGATGGTGGGGCGGTGGCGGAGGCGGCGGATCCAGCTCGCGGAGCTGGAGGAGCTGTTGGCGCTGCGGGGCGCGGCCTCGGGCACGACGGCCAGGCCGACGGAGCCGCGCAGCGGCGGCGCGGGCCCAGGCGTCCTCGGGCGAATGCGGCGGCGGAGCTGAGTGTGGCGCTCGCGGTGGCGGCGCTTGCTGTAGGCGGAGCTGCGGCCTCGGTGGTCGGCCGTGAGGAGGTCTTCGAGGTGGCCGACGGCCTCATCCGCCAGGCGGCTGACTATGAGTTTCGGCTCTGCGAGCAGCTTCGGCGGATGCTGTAGTCCGTGAGCTGAAGGCCTGCCAGCGCCCTTTAGCCCGCGCTCGCGGGTGGCCCGCCTGGCGCCTGGTGGCTCCCTCCGCCTTTGGCTCCTGACGGAGTGGCTTCGGTGGACTGCCCTCTTTGGAGGGTGGCGCAGCCTGGGGGGTGCCCCGCGGGGGTGCCCCAGGTGATGCCGCAGACTTCAGTAGGGCAAGCCGAGCATTCCTCAGCCGCGGCCTCTGCGGTAGCGGCGGTGTCAAGGGGATTGCCTTCGGTGGTCTGGCCCCGTTCGGGGCTGGCACGGCCAGGCGGGCGCCCCGCGCGGGCGCCCCTGGTGACGGCGCACACCCTGAAGCCACCCCTGGGCCGAGCTCGCGCCGCGCGAGCCTGGGGGCATGCACCCGACGCCCAGTTTGGCACCCCTCACGAGGATCGTGGCCTCATGGGGAGATCCACCGAATGCTCCAGTGGCGCGCGCCGCGCGCGCCCGGCGCCCATTTTTGGCACACCCCTCACGCGCTTCGTGGCCGCAGGGAGTTCCGCTGATGGCCCCAGTGGTTCTGGCCGCACGCGCCCGACGCCCAGCTCATTTTGGCACGCCCCTCACACGGTTCGTGGCCCCGTAGGGAGTTCAACCGAAAGCGGTACCCACAACGCGGCATCCATAATTGCGCATGGTTGGGTCTTTCGCCAGGATAATGTTCGGTGTGTGCGTGTGTTTGTGTGTGTGCGTTTGTGTTTGTGTTTGTGTTTGTGTTTGTGTTTGTGTTGTTTGTGTTTGTGTTTGTGATTGTGTTTGTGTGTGTGCGTGCGTGCGTGCGGGCGGGCGGGCGTGCGTGCGTGCGTGCGTGCGTGTGTGCGTGTGTGTGTGTGTGTGTGTGTTGTGTGTATAAGTGCTTAAGTCATACCGAAGACGCCTACAGCGAATCACCGCCGCCCCCCGCCTTCAATAATCGCCCACTTGGCCGAGCGTTGTGGCAAGAGCGTTGCCGAGCTGTCGGACCACGTGTTCCGCCAGCCGTTGTGGAAAGAAACCTTTCGGGGAACGCTGGGGGGAGGGTGGCGGAGAAGATCAGGAGGAGGATGGGGAAGAGGAGGAGGAGGATGGGGCATATTGGGAGCCTTTGGGGCCCTCTTGGGGCCTCTTGGGAGCTTCTTGGGAGCCTTTTGGATGCGTTTTTGGGGCCTCTTTGGGCGTCTTGGGGGCGTTTAGGGGCCTTCGGGGGTCTCTTTGGCCGTCTCAGAACATTCCTGGCCCGTGTGACACCGTCGGATGCCGTCTTATGGGCCTCTCTGGACCGACTTGGGGCCCTTGGGGTGTTCCTGGGCCGTCTTGGAGGCCATCTTGTGCGTATTGGACGCCTCGTGGGTCGTTCTGGGGCCCTCTTGGGGCCGTTTGGGGGACTCTTGGGCCGTTCTGGGGCCATATTTGAGGCCTCTTGTGTGATTTTGGGGCGATCTTTGGGGGTTCTCGGGCCGTCGGAAGGCAGAAAAAGGACATGCCAACATCCTCCAAATACTTACAGGAAATCAATACTTTTGGCCGCTTCGGGCCTCTTGGGGGCCTCTTTGGCCGTCTTGGGGACCTCTTGGAGGCCTCTTGGGCCATCTTGGGCCGTCTTGATTGCCTCCTGGCCGGTCTGATGCCGTCGGAAGCCGTCTTATGGCCTCTTTGCCGACTTGAGGCCCTTCTGGGGTGCTCCAGGGCCGTCTTGGAGGCCAACTTGGGCGTCTTGGAGGCCTCTCGGGCCTTCTTGGGGCCCTCTTGGGGCCGTTTTGGAACGATCTTGGAAACCAATTAATTCTTCATTGCGTGGGGCATGACGGGCGTCATGGCCTCCGCCCCCCCCTTGACGTAACGCTCCCCCCCCCTAATGCGCTCTGGGCACTGCCGCCGTGCGCAGTCCGCACAGGAGTCCGGTCCGCAGTCGTCGTCGTCGTCGTCGTCGTCGTCGTCGTCGTCGTCGTCGTCGTCGTCGTCGCTCGTGGCTCGTGGCTCGTGGCTCGTCGTTCATCGTCGTCGTGCGCGCGGACGCGGCTGGTCGGAGGGCACCAATTATATACCAACACCGATCCTGGCCCAGGATCACCCTGGGCCCAGGATCGATGTATATGCCTTCTTGCGCAAGGCAGGAGGGCGTATACACCGATCCTGGGCCTAGCGTGATCCTGGCCAGGATCGGTGTTGGTGTATAGATGGTGCCTTCCTAGCTGGAGCTTTTTTTTATATTCCGGGCCGTTGACGGCAATCGTCTAGGGGGGTTGGAGGGGGTCGACGGCGTCACGCTTCGCGCCGGCGGCGCCCGGGAAAGGTTTAGGAATGACGGAGGGCGGGCGGCGCCAGCATGCAGGTGGCGATTTCCACCACAGCGCCTGTGTACACTGCAGTGCCTGCGTGAACCACAGCGCCTGTGTACACCACACCGCCTATGTACACCACAGCAGCCGCGTGGAACACAGCGTCAGTTTGTGCCACCGCGCGCGCGGGCACAGCAGCTCTTGTGTACACCACAGTGCCTGCGTAAACCACATCAGCCGTGTACAACACAGCTGTGTACACCACAATGCCTGCGTACATTGCAGCGCCTGTGTACACCACGGCGCTTGTGTGCACCACAGCAACCGTGTGCAACACAGCACCACTGTTGTATGTAGAATGTTAGCCTCCAAACTGGCCGGACCGGGCTCCCGAGGGAGGGGTTTGGGAAGGGGGAAGCATCACACACGCTGTGACCCCAAGGGGTCGTTCCCCGGAGGCTCGGTGGCGGATGTGTGTATATGCGCATATCTGTATCGTTGGCTGCGATCTCTGGGCGTCACAGCGTGTCTGCGCCAGAGTCCAATCCGCAGCCGCGCCTTAGTGGTTGGGATATGCGTCTGAATGGATCCCCTTGCTCCTCCCCCTTCCTGTGCCGCCTCACCCCCAGCCTGATGTGATGTGGGGGCATCAGCCGCGGCAGCACGAGATCGCGCCGTCAGCTGCCGAGTGTTGGTGCCGACGCGTGTGCCTTGACCGCTGCGCTCTCGGCCGCGAAGTGATGGGAGGGAGGGAGGGAGGGAGGGAGGGAGACCTCTGCCCCACGCCGTCGCTTCGGCCCCCGTCGGCGCAGGCACGGCCACAGCGCGCGGGAGCCGGGCGGAGGTGTCCGCGGCTGGCCCAGAGGAGCCCCATGGCGTGGGATCTGCAGCGGCAGCAGGCCCTCGGAGCAGACTCGGAAGCTGGGCGAGGGTTGCTAAAACCGTGGCTGCTAAAACGGCTCTCCCGGAAGGACAAAACAACTTCCCGGAATGCGGCGCGGCACGCGAAACAGTCAACGGGTTTCTTCCCGGAAGGACGAAGACAACTTCCCGGAGGTAGATTTTAGCAGCCACGGATTTAGCAGCCTTTGCCCGGCTTCCGACAGACGGCGCCCTTCTTCGAGCACCTTGCAGCGATCTCGGGCCGTTCGGGGCGGGGGGGTGACACGGAGAGCGCCAGAGAGGAGAACGTAGTGGAGCCGTTACGAATGTTTTCCTGGACGATGTCACACGCCTTGGAGCTTTCCAGGGTCAGATTAGGGCGCCAGGGCCGTTGGGTCGCCCCCCCCCGTCAAACCAGCTGGACCAGGCTCCCAGGGGCGGGGTTTGGGGAGGGGCAACCATCTCACACGCCGAGAACATCCAAGGGGTCGGCGACATGCACCAGATTGCATATGCTTCGTACAACGGACGATCAGAGGCGTACACGCTTCATAGTTTGCACCACATGTATTGCATTCCATAGGCCGTTCCAGATAGCTTGCACTACATACCTTGTACCATGTCGATGGCACCAAGCAGTTTGCATTCCAAAGCCTGTACCACATGGTTGGCACCGCATAGAATTGCGCCACGCTCATTGCACCACACAGTTTGCACCACATGAGGTACACGGCTCAAGTGCAATCAACTACCGCTCAAGGTCCACGCTGGCAAACAAGTGTTGCTTTGTTGATAAGTTACATGTGCATGCACACATCGCTCCTGTGGAAAGGACGTACACATGAATGTATCATACTCATCGTGCGAGCTTTAGCGAGCACGTTTTTTGGCTTAGGATTGTGGGGCAGAACTAAGCATGCCATACAACTTATGCGATGCCGCTGCTACTCTCCCTCTTTTTCTTCCCTTCTTCTTCCCCTCTGTACAGAAATCAAGCAAGGTTGTACGTAGAGGAACGGGAGTCTTGTCCCTGAAGGGAACGGGGAAGCTGTTTCTAACAGAGGTAGCATGTTCTCGACCACCCGCGGCCATGTGTTAGATGCTGCTTGCAAGGGGAGGAAGGCGTGCATGTCGCTGGGGGGAGTGGAAGGGAGGACGGAGGAGGAGAAGAAGCGGCAGGCAGCGAGGAGGAGCAGGAGGAGAAAGGGAGGGAGGGAAGGAGCAGGGGGAGGAGGAGGAGGGACTGGGCGCAGTGATACGGCCCCGGAACCATACTGGCCAGCGTCTGTCACGGCACACAGCGTCCTCGGCCTTCGGCCGCGCCCGGAGGCTCGACGCAGCCCCCCCCCGCCGGCGGGGATCGGCCGCCCGCGGCGACCGCCGCGACTCCCACCGCCGCCGAGCGCACAGGCGTCGCCCGCGCGAAGGGCCGGACGCTGCGCGCTCGCCCTCCGCGATTCGGCGTTGGGGGGGGCGGGGCCAGGACGACGAGGATCAATCCGTGCCGAAGGCCTCAGCGCCGGGTGCATGTTCCAGAGCCGCCGGATCTCCGAGCTTCTCGATGCATTCGGTGGCTGCACAGAAGGGGGTGATGACTGGGGGGGTGGATATCATGGCGTGGGCCACGGCATTTCCTCAGCTGTCATGGCGCCTCTTCTCATTTCATCACGTCCCTGGCCCCTCCCCCCTGGGCCGCGCACGTGCCGCCGGCCATGCTTTGCGCCCCCCCCTCCCCATTTTGGACGCCCCCGTCCTGGCCGCCCCCGACTGAGCCTCATCCACAGCCGTTCTCGCCCTGGCTCGGTCTCAGGATGTCTGCGACAACGACGACGATAAACGACGTTAACGACAACGACGACGACGCGCGCTCGCCTGCCGCGATTCTGCGTGGGGGCGCGGGGGCCTCCGCTCGCCCTCCTCGAGTCTGCGCTGGGGCACGGCCACCAGAGGCGCAGCAGTCGCAGCTTCGGCTGTCGCCTCGGGTGTCAAGTCGAGCCTGTCCCTCTGCAGGGGGAATCTGTCAAAATAGTCGAAAGTAGTCTGGGGATGATTGTCGTGTTGTTGTATTTTTGACTATTTGGGTGCATGTTTTGAATCTCTGTTGTTTTTCCCCCAGAATGCGCATGTAGGGGGACATGCCCGACCTAACTCTGGTGGGAGGCCCTGCTGGCGTGTGCGCCTGGCCCTCTGCCCCCTCAGAGGGCCCCGGCCACCGTGCAGGGGCAGCGTCGCCGTGGCATGCACCCGAAGTCAGAGGAGGCCCTGGGAGCACGGCAACCTGTTTGGGCACCGTGGGAGCTGGAGGTGCAGGAGAAGGGGCAAAGGCAGAGGTAACTTGGGAGGAGTAGGAGGAGGAAGAGGAGGAGGAGGAGGAGGAGGAGGAGGAGGAGGCAATGACGAGCAGGGTGGGTCGGAAGGGAAGATGGGAACAGGAGCCTCGGAGGCGGAGGAGGAAGTAGAGGGGGTGGAGAAGGGGCGGGGGGAGAGGATTGGGTCGGACGGTAGGGGGAGAGGTGGGGGGGAGAGAAAGGTGGGCGGTCAGAAAATTGCTGCGTGCAGCTGAGGTCGGCATCACCGCCAGCCGTTTTCCTGGCTACATGTTCGCTTTCGGCGCTAGAAGGCGCTGGGACAACCAGCTGCATGCAGTTGATTCGCTGCCCAGCTTTTTGTCGTCCCCCCCCCCTCATTCTTCCGTCCCGAAGGGAAAGGAAGGAGCGGGGGCAAGAGTCATGTAGGCTCAAGGCATTCGGAGCCCCCTCCACCACCCTCTCTCGAGTCACAACACAAACTGCATAAGCGTAAACTTTCGGAGCTCCGCGCGGATTTCGTGGATCGGCGCTGGGGCCCCCTCCCTGGCGGGCGGAGCGCGCCGGGCCCCAGCGCCGGTCGAAGGAATTCGCGCGGAGTTCCGAACGCGTGTGCTCATGCTGTTTTGTTGTCCCTCGACTCCTCCCCCACTCCTCGCCCTTCCCTCCCTGCCAGCCCCCCCAGAGGACGTCTCCGGGGGGGGGTGCAGTCGTCTTGCGATGGACGCCGCCGTGCTGCTGGCCGTCTGCCTCAAGGGCGGCGCGCTCGGCGCGGCCTTCGGCTGCCTCGAGGGGGTGCGGCGGGGGATTCGGCGCGACAGGCCGTGCGGAGCGAACCACCCAGACAGACTCGCTTCGTTACCAAAAATCACGACGAGAGATTCTGGTCAGTTTTCGGCCTCCAGGGGCCTTCGCCTGGCCTTTTGGACCGTCCAAGGACCCGGATGAGGAACCAACCCTGAGGAAATGGTCGGGATTGTTGGAAACCCCGTATTGAAAGTATCAAGGCACCTGTACCAGTTCTGCTCACCCGAGAACGGACATCTGGCATACATACATACATACATCTGTGTGCTTGCACGGGAAGGTGAGGGGTATTGTTTCAGGTGATGTCTCCTGTTGCCATAATCTACGCTCAAGACTCTTTCCTTCTCTCGTCAGAAGCGCCCATGGGACCTGCCCCCGACAGGTCCCCGCTCGCGGTCCTCGCGGTGGCCGTCGCGCGCGGTCGAGGTCGGCTGGTTGCCCGAGGGGCTGCCAGGGTTCGGCCCGCCGTCACCTCCGCCGCCGCCGCTTGGGCCCGTGCTGGCGCCTGAGGGTTGGGGCGCGGAGGGCGCGCCGGCCTGGCTGGAGGCGGTCTGCCCGGCGGTGCCGCAGTGCCCTGCCCCTCCTGCTCGCGTCCGCATGCGGAGTTCCAGGGGCCGACTCCAACTGAGCAGGCCGTGTTGTTGCTGGTGCCGCCCGTGCTGGTGGCGACGAGTACTTCCAGGGCGTGGCGCGTCAGGCGGAGTGCCAGTCTGGCCAGCGGCCGATCGCCCACGATCGCCCCGGCGGTGAGCTGATGCCGATCACGCACTTCTTCGGAGGTAGCTTCCCGCCTGAGCTTGGCGTGAGGCTGCGGGGCGAGAAGCCGCTGACGGCCGCGATGACAGGCCTGCCCAGGCATTCGGAGGCAGTCGGAGGCGCTGCCACCCCCGTGCTCGAGGACGAGGATGAGCCTGCTGATGCGTCGCTGCCTTTGTTGTCTGGACACGCGTGGGTGCTGGAGTCGACGGCCCCCTCGGCCATCGGCAGTGAAGTGGACATCTGCAGAGCTCCGCTCGTTGTGGCGTCGGAGTCGGCGGGCCTCGTCCTCCTGGAAGGAAGCCGCGCCCGAGCGATCCGTCTGCTGGTCGGGGACGTGCCCACGTACGTCTCATCGCGGGCCTCCGAGCTCCGCCGGCGACCAAGCACGGGCCACGAGGACGCGGAGGTGGACCTGTGTAAGCGGTTTGGCCGACCGCCCCTGTCTCCGCCCAGGAAGCAGGCTCGGGCCGAGGAGGCGCACTCGCCGATCAGGAGCAAAGGCGTCAGGCTGCTCGCCGTGGGCTTCGACGGCCAGGACGAGCGCTTCAAGCCCTTGCGCGAGACGGTCCACGAGGACACCCAGGAAGGTTTCCGCGACCAGCCAATGGATGCCCCTCCGAGGCTCACCACGTGCAGGAGCAGGCAGCTGACGGGCGGTGATCCGTTTTTGTGGCTCAGAGAGTACCTACGTGAGGATGCGCTCTCTAACGCGGACCACGTGGCACATGTGCTTCGCCGCATCTGCGAGTCTGTGTACATGGCGGGCTGCTATGACCAGGTGAACCTGGGCGGGCCGATAGCGCTGGAGGAGCTCTTCAAGCGGCTCGCAGGTATCGTGGCCGCGCGCGCCAACCCGCAGCGGGTGCAGTGGGAGGTGGCGAAGCACTACACCGGCGCGCAGTCGGCCGAAGTCGCGGCAAGCCCGGCGCTGCGGGCGCATGAGGCGCGCAGGATGCGCGAGGAGCGCGAAGGCCAGCAGGCGCTGCGAAGCGCCCCCACCGGAGCCCAGGAGGACTGTTTTGGCGACGGCGGGGGCGGCGGCCGCGGCGGCGGCGGCGAGAAGAGCAAAGCAGGCGGGGGCGGTCGGGGACGCCCGGGGCCACATGATGGGCCCGCCGGCCAGGGGGTCCCCCGACCCTGGTCGGCTTCAGGGGGCTGGTGGCCGCCCCAGACTGGCGGCCTCGCGGGGACAGCGAATCCTGTTCCCGCCCCTGCTGCTGCCGCTGGATTTCGCGCGCCCCGGGCGCGGCCGAGGTTGCCTTGACATGGTGAACGGCGCGCTGAAGGCGCTGAACTGGATGGCAGGCAGCGTGGAATTTGTCTGGGCCGATCGCGGCCCCGATGTCCTGCCCGACGATGCGCAGGCAGACGCCCGGCGGAGGGCGCGCGAGTTGGCGGACAGCTGGCACCCGCGCCCTTCGCAGCTCAGCGACGAGGCGGCTCTCAAGAAGCTGCTTCAGGGACACTCCCCGCATCAGGCGCGGGATGTTCGACGAGGGTTGCGTCCTTCAAGCTCGACCTTGTGAGCCCCCTCGGCTCGGTCGAGGGTGCCCGCTGATCGCGGGCGTGACGCCCTCTGAGATCATCGGATTTCTGGAGGACTATCGTGGGCGCGTGCTAGCACCGCCAGTTGATGCGTGTGAGACTGTTCCCTACTTCGACCCCAAGTTCAGATTCAACCAGAAGGAATATCACCGGCTTCTCCGTCGCCTGGCAGACGTCGGCATTGCGTCGTGGACGTCCATTCCGACGTGCCAGGCGGGTCTCTTCACGGCGGAGAAGGACGGCGGCGCAGCTCAGGGGCTCATCGTAGATGCCAGGCGGGCCAACGAGCGCTTCCTGGTTCGACCCGGCGTCTCGCCCATGAGCTCGGAGGGTTTTTCTCGCGTAGAGATAGAGCTGCCCGCCGACGCGCCGCTGGGCTCCGAGCGCGCCGCCGAGCTGCTGAGCGACTTCTATCCGTCGATCGGGCTCCCGGACGTCTCGAACTGCTTCCACGGGCATCGCGCGCCGTCGCGGCTGTCTGACTATTTCAGCGCCCCCCGGCGCCGGCCCACGTGATGGGAGCGACGGGCGTGGAGGTGAATGGGCCCCCGCTCGGCCGCGCGGCGGCAGCCACGCCGCGCTGGGTCGCCCTGCCCATGGGTTTCACGTAGAGCACGGGGATCGCCCAGAGGATCAACGAGGCCACTGCGGTCAAGGTGTCGCCCTCTTCGCCTGGAGCCCCCCCGCGCGATGGCAGGCCGCCGCTGACTACGCGTGCGTAGACGACCTCGGGGACGTCGGGGTCTGCGAGCAGGCGGTCGGCGCGGCGCTCCAGCAGTTGGAGGAGGCCTTCAACCGCGAGGATGTGCTGCTGCATAAGTCCGAGCTCTCGCGCGCTGGCATCGTCGCGCTGGGCGCGGAGCTGGACGGCGCCGCCCTGCGGGCGCGGGTCACGCCCAACTGCTTCTGGGGCATCCATGGGGCGCTGGGGGCGCTGCTGCGGCGCCGGCGGGCTAGTGCCTGGTCGCTGGAGGTCGTCCTCGGCCACTGCGCGCTCGCCACCCTGTGCTGCCGCGGGCTGCTCAGCATCTCCCACTCGGTCTACGCGTTCGCGGAGCGAGGCCGCGCTTCGGGCAGGGTGGAGCCGCTGCGGGGCGAGCGCCGCGCGGAGCTACGCGTCTTCAGGTCGCTCATGGTCTTCATGATGAGCGACTGGCTGCGCGGCTGGAACGAGCTGGCGGAGCAGACCGGCAGCAGTCTCGAGGGGCACGCCGCGGCGCAGGCGCTCTGGCCCATGCAGGCCGTGAGAGAGGTGGGGCGCACCTCTGAGCGCCAGCGGTTCCGCCGCGTTGGCTCCCATCGGGCCCGAGAGAGCGCCCTCGCGGGCTTCAGTCGGCAGGCGGTCGGCAGCTGGTCAGTTGCGATCGCCGTGGAGGGTGTTGACTGTACATGCTAATCTGTAGCCCCTTGGTCCAAGTAAAAACCATCGACATGGTAGCGGAGCGGCGTGGGTTCGTTCCCGCTGCCGCTTCCCTTCCAGCCAACCGCGGCGGGCGCGCGCGCCCGCGATAGGGCGGCGGCGGAGGCCGCGCCCTGGCGGCTGGCAGCGGCGAGGGCCGCGCCAGCCGGCCCTTCATAGCCCAGCACGCCGCCGAAGAAGAAGAAGAAGACTAAGCGTGGCTCGAGGTCGAACAAAGCAGACATCCTGAGGAGTAGGAAGTTCGACGAGAAGCTCGATCTGAAGTATGGAGGAGATCGAGAGACGCTTCCAGGCGCTCGAGGGAGCGTTGCAGGCTGCAGAACAACGGGTGCAGGCTGCAGAGGAGCGCGCCCTGGCGGCGGAGTCAGCAGCAGCGAGCGCAGGCGCCGCCGTGAACAGGCCCGTGGCAGCGGCGAGGGCCGCGCCTCAGGATCTGGTGGACACTCGGCTTCTGGCGAAGCCGAAGGCGTTCGGAGGCAGCGAGGACGAGTGGCCAGGGTGGAGCTTCAAGATGCTCGCGTACCTCGGGGCCCTCGACGAGCAGATGGCCAACGAGCTGACAGCAGCCATGACGTTCCCGCTGGAGGAGGTGAGGAACGCGAGACTCCTGGAGGAGGGAGCGAGTCAGCGCAGTCGCCAGCTGTACTTCATCCTCGTCCTGCTGCTGGAAGGAGCCGCGCTGCAGCTCATCAAGCCAGTCGGCGTCGGAGAAGGTTATCGGGCGTGGAGGACGTTGCAAGACATGTACGAGCCCGACCGACCAGGTCGCCATGCAGGACTGCTGCAAGAGCTGATCGCGTTCCAGTTCCCAGAGGACAACATCGTGGGGATGCTGGCGGACTTCGACTTCAAAGTCACGAAGTACGAGAGCCAGAGCCACGAGAGGATTGGGGACAGGATCAAGATGGCGATCCTCCAGAGGGGGATTCAGGACGAGGCTCTTCGAGCGCATCTGGTCCACAATGCGTCGAGGCTAGTCACGTGGGAGCTCATGCGCAACGAAGTGCACATGGTGATCTCGACGAGGAGCGCCATCGCAGCAGTGCCGCCACCAGTTCCGATGGACACGAGCGCGGTGGAGAAGGCGAGGCGCGAGGCGGCGTCGAAGGGCAAAGGAAAGAAGGGCAAGGACGGCAAGGGCAGGAAGGGCAAGGGCGGCGACAACTCCACGGACCAGAAGAGCCAGGCGGCCAAAGACAGGGCCGAGAGACGATGCTTCCACTGCCACAAGACAGGTCACGTCAAGAGCGAGTGCAGGAAGTTCCTCGCAGAGCAGAAGAAGAAGAAGGGCACCAACGCAGTCGAGCAGGAGTCGAAGCCGACGGGAGCTCCACCAGCGGCGAGCGCCGCGGGGAGCGCGGCGCCAGTGATGGCGATCGCAACCGAAAGCGGGGCAGAGCCATTGTGGTGCCTCGCGATCGAGCTGGGAGAGCTGGGAGAAGGGCAAGAATCATCATCGAGTGGAGCAGCAGCGACACCCTCAGCCCCAGCAACGACAGCGACCCACCGTCGTTCGAGCGGGCCGTCAAGCGAGCACGAGCAGCCGAGGCGGCCATCCTTGGTCGGAGGCAGCCCGATCGAGCAGCTGAGCCAGCCAGAGGCGTCAAGCGAGCACGCGCAGCCGAGGCAGCCATTCTTGGTCGGGGCCAGTCCGATCGAGCAGCTGAGCCAGCCAGGGGCAGCAAACGAGCACGAGACGTTCGAGAGCAAGGAGATCGTCGGTATCAATGAGCACTGGGTCATGGTGGATTCGGGTGCTGCACGATCGGTGTGTCCGCCGAGTCACGGGGCCCACGAGACGCTCAGAGACCTGAGCGAGCGCATCAGGCTGGTCGGAGCGAGCGGCGACGACATCCCGTGCCACGGCGAGCGCTTCGTCACGTACACGAAGGGCGGGCACAAGATCGGGGTGGACTACAAGGTTGCCGACGTCAAGAGGCCAGTGCTGGGCGTGTCGCAGGCGGTCGACAAGGGTACGTCGTGGGTATTCACGCCGAGCGGGAGCTACATGATCCCGAAGCCGATCGAGTTCTCGGACCCAGACGCCGTGCCGCTGGTCAGGCGCAACGACCTGTTCTACCTCAAGATGGACAGGTACGGTGAAGGCGTCAAGAACTCGCTCGTCATGCCGGTGCGGGGCGAGGAGCCAGGAGGCGAGCCTGGCGGCGCATCAGCTGCGTCCAGGGCAGCGGCGAGGGCCGCGCTCCAGGGCGGCGGCGGCGGAGGGGCTGCCGCGACTCGCGCTCAGGCCGAGGCGAGCGAGCCAGCAGCGCAGGCAGAGCTCGAGGAGTCCGTGCCAGTCCGAGTCAAGAAGGATCCAGTGAAGCCAAGTTTGGCCGAGCAGAGGACGCACGAGCTGGTGCACATCCCTGCGAGGTCCTGGTGCTGGGTGTGCGTCAGATCCAAGTTCACGGACGACCCACACTACAAGGCTGGGCACGAGCGCACGGGCGACGAGGTCCAGATCGACTACTACTTCCTGGGCCAGCTGAGCATCCTCAACATGGTGCACATGAACTCCCAGGCTATTCATGGCATCATGGGGCCGAAGGGTACCGACGCCTACATGATCAAGACAGCGGTCGCCACCATCGAGAACTGGGGGCTGGATCGCATCGTGCTGAAGCACGACCAGGAGGCGTCGATCACGGCCCTGGCGAGGGAGATCAAGGCTCAGAGGAAGGCGCCCACGATGATCGAGTCGGCTCAGCGGGCTAACCATCAGGGAGTTGGTGGAGTGGAGCGCGCCAACGAGGAGCTCGGCAAGCAGATCAGGGCGCTGCTGTTCTCGGTGGGCGACAACTACAAGCGGGAGCTCCCAGCCGAGCATGGGCTTCTACCTTGGCTCATTCGGCACGCTGGCTGGCAGCTCAACCGCTTCACGATGCACGGCAACGGCAAGACGACCTACGAGGTGCTCAAGGGGAGGCCGTATCGGGGCGAGCTCGTCAACTTCGCGGAGTGCGTTTGGGCGAGGGACCCCACGCCGACCTCCAAGCTGCAGCCTCGGTGGCACGCGGCGGTGTGGCTGGGCAAGACAGAGGTCTCGGACGAGCACCTGGTGGCGGGTCCGACGCGCACGACAAGGGTACGCACGGTGAGACGGCGGCCGGAGGGTGAGCGGTTCGTGCTGGAGGAGCTGGACAAGTTCGCTGGGGTGCCGTGGGACATGCACCGAGCTCCACAGATCGGCATTGTGCCGACGGGAGCGCCCCAGGTGGAGCCGAACCAGCAGCGGCTGCTGCCGCCACCTCCGCCACCGCCAGTGGTCTTGCCAGCCGCGGGCCCGGAGGCGCTGGTGCCACCAGCGATGGTCGGGCCGGCGCCGCCCACGGGGCCAGGAGGCGCAGGGCTGAGGTCGACGTACATCACGAGAGCGCTGATCGACAAGTACGGCTGGACCCCCATGTGCCCGAGGTGCGTCACAGGCATGGGATCGCACAGCGAGGAGTGCCGGAAGAGGATCGAGAACGAGCTGCGCAAGGAGGAAATGGCCAGGGCAGCGGCGGAGGCCGCGCCCTCGTCGGCAGCGGCGGGGGCTGCGCCGACGCCGGCGGCGGCTGGAGCCGCGCCGGGGCCAGCGGCTGGAGCTGGAGACGGCAGGCCAGGATCGTCCGGGGATGCCAGCATGGCACCTCGCGATGACCAGGGCGAGGCTTCGGCGAAGAGGCCGCGCCAGACAGCGGCGATCACAGTCGGGTCGCTCGCGGTCGGGGCCTTCGTGGAGATCAACCCCTGCACGTACGAGGGCCTAGACCAGCAGTCTCACGAGGAGCTCGAGACGGTCACGGAGATCGAGAGCTGCGAGCCGCTGGAGATCGGGATGTTCGAGGTCAGCCCCGTCGAGCCAGCGGCGATCACGGTCCTGCCAGACGCGGAGAAGCACGTGTACGACGCGAGGAGCGGGAAGGAGCTCCCCAGGGACCTGGTCAGGCGCGGACGCGAGGCCGAGATCGAGGAGATGCGGCGACACGGCGTCTTCGAGGAGGTCCGCGTGGCCGAGAGTCGGGGCAAGGTGGTGCGTTTCAAGTGGGTCGAGGACCTGCGCACCAAGGACGGCGCCCCCTTCGTCCGTTCCCGAGGCGTAGCCATGGAGATCAACACGTACGGCCGAGAGGACTGCAACGCGGGCACGCCGCCGATCGCCATCGTCAGGGCGATCGTCTCCTTGGCGGCTACGAAGAAGGGTCGGAGGCATCTCTCGGTGCATGACGTGCACGTGGCGTTCTTCCACGCCGACCTCGACGAGTGGATCGTCGTCATCCCGCCTCCGGGACTCAGGAGAGACGGGTACGTGTGGCAGCTCCGGAAGGCCATGTACGGCACGCGCAAGGCGGCACAGGCTTGGCAGGAGTACGTGGCCGGGGTGTTCAAGAAGAACAACTGGACGCGCATCGCGGTGGCGGCGGGCGTGTACCACGAGCCTCTCTTGGACATGACCTCGGCGATCCACGGTGACGACATCCTGACCGAGGGCGAGGAGGAGTCCCTGGATGTCCTGGACCAGCAGCTGATGGCGAGCATGGACGTCAAGTGCATCGGTCGTGTCGGGCCGGATGGCGTCCGCGAGCTCCCGTACCTCAAGCGCAAGATCAGGTGGACGGGCAAGGGATTCGTCTGGATCGGCGACACGAAGCACGTGACGAGATGCGTGGAGCTGCTGGGCCTTACGGAGTGCAAGCCAGCGGACACGCCTGGGAGCAAGGCCACGGGCAAGAGCGTCCGGGAGGCGCTGGACCCACTTCCACACGACGAGGCGAAGCTCTACCAGCAGGTCGCGGGGCTCGTCAACTACGTGGCGGTAGACAGGCCAGACATCCAGTTCGCAGTGAAGGTGATCCTCACGGACATGGGGAAGCCCACAGTCATCAGCATGCTTAGGCTGAGGCGGTGTGTGCGGTATCTCCACGGTCGGCGCGAGCTCGGGTGGTTCTACGAGAAGCAGGAGATGCCGAAGGAGGTTCTCTACGAGACGGGCTCGGACTGGGCAGAGGATGAGATCACTAGGAAATCGACCAGCTCCGTGTATGGCTTCTTCGGCAGCCACCTCCTGGAGACCCAGGTGGCATCGCAGCCCGTCGTCGCGCTCAGCAGCGGAGAGGCCGAGTTCTATGCCGTCGGCCGAGGCGCGGCGAGTGCGATCATGATGCGGCAGTTCTATCAGCAGTGTGGCATCGAGGTCGCGTCGAAGGTTCACAGCGACTCGAATGCAGGCAGGGCGATCGCGACACGGATTGGCAGTGGCAAGGTACGGCATCTACAGATACGGGACCTGTGGGTGCAGGAACGAGTCAGGCTCGGCGAGTTGCAGCTCGGGCGAGTCGACACGGAGAGCAACAGGAGCGACTTGGGGACCAAGCATCTGGACGGCAAGCGGGTGCTCAAGTTGCTGGAGATGTCCAACCTGCGGCTTCTGACCAAGGGGCTCGCCGCAGGTGTGGGCGTCACTTTCGCGGAGGCGGCCGAGCATGGAGACAAGCAGTGCTCTGCAGCCGCCGACGACGAGGTCGAGTCGAACATCGGCTCGATCGTTCTCGCCGTGATCATGTTCATCGTCGTGCTGGTGCTCATGGTCAAGGGCGCAGTTGTGTGCACGAGAGGGGCGGTGCAGCTCTTCTCATCGAGGGCGGCGAGTGCTGCCCCACCAGCGGGAGCGGCGAGGGCTGCCCCGCAGGCCGACGGCACGGCGAGGCCCGAGGCGGCGTCGAAGGACGCGCCTGAGGGGCATGTCGTTTCTCGGGCAGCGGCGATAGCTGCGCCTGAGCAGGTCGCCGAAGGGCGAGACCTCGGTACGGAGTACCTCGGGAAGATGCTGGCTGAGGCCACCGTGGCAGAGCTCAAGGAGGAGCTCAGGTGGCGGAAGCTGCCAGTGAGCGGCTTGAAGGCGGACCTCATCGTCCGTCTGACGAGGGACGGCGGCCAGCACATGGCCAGCAGTGAGGGGCTGGCTGCAGCGGCGTGGGCCGCGCGGCTGGTTCCAGGCAGAGTGCCCATCCGAGCGTTCCGCTCGGACGCTAGCCTAGGCGCGCACCTAGGCGCGCTTCTCAGCAGCACGGGGTAGGTCCGCGCCGAAAGAAGGACCCTTTGAGGGCCACCCAAGACGGGTGAGGGCGCGGCCAGAGGCCGCTCCTTTGAGCCGAGGGCGCGCGTCAGGCGCAGGCGCGCGGGAGCCACGGCGGGGACGCCCGCTTTGGCTTGAGCTTGAGCCTTCAGAAGGGAGGCTCGAGCCGCAGTACAGAGAAGATGCAAGGCGATGCGCTCGCCTGCATCTTGGAGGCGTGTTGACTGTACATGCTAATCTGTAGCCCCTTGGTCCAAGTAAAAACCATCGACAGAGGGCGATGAGGATGAGCCTTTTTCGGACGCGGCGCCAGACTGGGAGGTCGACCGATCCTTCCCTGAAGTGCCCGCCAGTCTTTTGAAGCCAGTGTTCTGGCGTCTGGTGAGAGTGCAAAAGTGGGAGCGACCTGAGGGCATTCTTGTCGAGAAAGCCCGAGCTTTGGTCAAAGGTGTCATCCGTGTTGTAACGAGTTCGCGCGTCTCTGGCATGTGGCAGCTTCTCCTTTGCGACAGCATGTCGGTCACCCTCGCCATTGGTAGGGGTCGAGCCCAAAACTTGTTACTTCTCGTCCAGATTCGGGCTGTTCAGGCCCATTGTCTGGCCAGGACTGCCTTGCGGGCTGTGCGTTGGATCCCCTCCGAACCGAATCTCTCTGATAAAGGTACTCGGATTTTCGAGAACAGATGTGCCAGTGAGATTTTCGTCGATGATATCCCTCCTGTAGGTGTCAAAGGCAACGGTTTAAAGGAGACTTTTGAATACCCGCAATCCCCCAACCGATGGCTCTGCCGTTGCTGCCCCCCGCTCCATGTGCGTAGACAGTTCGCATTAAGATTTGCCGCTTTCTGTTCGCGCCCATTCAGATCCCACGTGTTCCAGTTGTGATGACAGCCAGCAAGAGGCAGGCAGGACTGCCTCCGTCGGGGCCTCGGCCGAGCAAGAGCCAGCGCGGCCACGGGTCTCTGGCCAACCAGAGGGGCGACCCTGCGGCCCCAGGGCGCCCAGCTAGCCCTGCGCGAGAGGCTGGGCTGCAGGCGCCAGGGGGCGCGCCTTCCCGAGAGCGAGTGGCTGCTGAGGCGCGAGCCCGAGGTGGCCGACGTCGGCGAGAGCAGCAACGCCGAAGACGAGGCGAGGCCCGGGCCCGGGGCCGCGCGGAGAGCCGTCCTGCGGCGCACGGGCCACCAGGGGAGGCGCAAGTTCCTGGACGTCGCCCTCGCTACCGCCGCGATCGGAGTCAGCTGCTTCCTCGAGGAGAGCTCGGCGACGCCGAGGGTGCTGGAGCGATGCCAGGCCGAAGTGGCCGGCTTCGCAGATTTCGCCGAGGGCCGTCCGCCTGTGCGCGACGAGCAGGTCGACGGCGTGCTGGTGGACTACTTCAACTTCCTGTTTTTCAAGGGCTGGGGCGCAAACAAGAGCGGGCTGATTCTGGCTGGTTTGATTTGTCTGGCGCCGGAGTTCTCGCGGGCTGGCCGCCGCCAGCCCCCCGGGCCTTCCGCTGCCTGAAGGGCTGGCAGCGCCGAGCCCCGGGTCGCAGCAGGCGGAGCTGGCCGCTGGCCTTGTGGGCTTGGGCGGCATGGAGGCTGACGGAGCGCGGCTTCCTGCAGATGGCGGTCTTCCTCCTGGTCTCGCTCAGCAGCTACCTGAGGCCGAACGAGCTGATGGGTCTCAAGCGCCGTGGTTTCACTGCTCCTGCGGCTGGGACCTCCCAGTTCTGGAGCCCGTTGCCCTTCGCGATGGATTCGCCGCGCCTCCAGCTCCTGGGGCCCGTCCTGAAGGCGCTGGCCAGCGGGCCCAGGGAGGACGTGGTGTGGACATTCACCTACCCGGTTCAAGACCTCCCTGGTCGAGCTCGGGATCACCGAGGTCATCGTGCCGTGCCAGGCGCGGCACCCGGGCCCATCGATCGACATCGCGCGTCGGTGTCGGACGGTGTTGGAGGCGCAGCGCCGTGGCCAATGTGCGAGCGTGAAGAGCGTCCAGCGGTTCGAAAAGTGGGCTCGACTGGGAGAGAGTTGGGAGGTGCTCCCCGCCGGCCTGCGCCGGCTGCTCGAGGCCTGCGAAGGAGCGCTCGAGGACATATTCCTGGCCGGCCGCGCGGCGTGGCGCCCCCCTGGCGGGGCACTTGAGAGGTCGCTACGTCCTCGACCTCTACTCAGGCAAAGGAGGTGTCGCTCGGGCAGCGATCCAGCAGGGTTGCAACGCTCGCGCGTACGATCGGGCCCGCGGGCCCGAAGAGGACCTGACAGACCCGAGGGTGCTGGGCCGCTTGGCCGCGTCTATCAGGCGCAGAGAAGTGCTGGGAGCGGTGATGGGCCCTCCGTGCGATGCCTGGGGGGGGGCCGCGGACCGCGGGCGCGATGGCCCCATTCGCTCGAAGCTAGAGCCGTGGGGACTACCCGAGGCGTCGCTCACGCAGCGGCGGCGTGAGAGGTTGAGGCGCGGGAACAGTGTCTTTCGATGTGCTTTGCAGTTGCTTCGCGTGCTCTTTCGCTGCTCCGTCCCCGCCATATTGAGCACCCCGTCAATCCCTAGGATTTGGCTCACTCCCGAGCTCCTAGAGGCCATCCGCGTGTTCAGCGGCCACACTCGAGTCTTTGATCAGTGCCAGTTCGGTCGTAGTTGGCGCAAGCGCACTAAGCTTACTTTCTTCTTTATAGACGCAGCAGACACAGTAATGTGGCGCAGGTGTGCGCAGGTGCAGGGGTGGCGCAGGTGTGCGCAGCCGAACGAGTTGGCAACATGTCATATTGGAGGGGGCCGCCCCGTCCGGCGCAAGGTGGACAGCCATCGCAGCCTCTTGCCCTCCGAGTTTGTGCAACGCCGTGGTCCAGACGTTGTTGTCCCATGAGCGTGGTCGCATTGCCTCTCTAGTTTTTGGCTGGCGCCGGCCTTCTGCCCCGCCGTGCTTGCGTGTCTTTTTTTTTCCTTTTACTACCGTGTCCCGCCCGTCGCTGGGGGCCGTTGGGCTTGGGTCGCCCTTCTCGGGCTTGGGGTGTCTTGAGCGAGAGCCTCATACGTCTCAGGCTCTCGTCGTTTGCTGTGGTCCTGGCGTAGAGATCGCGTCGACGCGCGGCACCTTGTAGCAGAAGCTGCCCCCGCAGAAAAATTCAACAGCACCTGTGTGTGCTTGCACGGGAAGTTAAGGGGTATTGTTCGGGTGATGTCTCTTGTTGCTATGATACACGCTCAAGCCTCTTCCCTTCTCTCGCCCGCCCGCCCTGGCCCGTCTCTCTCAGGATGTCTTGAGCGAAAGCCTCATGCGTCTCAGGCTCTCGCCGTTTGCTGTGTTCTTATCGACTGGCTTCGAGTTCGCGTCGACGCGTGGCATCTTGTTGCAGAAGCTGTTCCCACGAGAAAAATACAACAGCACCGATATACACATATACGTATATGGGAGTTTCCGGGCCTTGGACCCCGGGCCGGAACCTCCTTTGTACATAGGTACTTGGAAGGTTCCGGCGGTTAGCAACAGTTAGGGTTGCCTTAAAGACGTTGTAATCCATTGACAAAGTGCAACCAACTATCCGCTAACATGCAAACAACATGTAGTAACCTTCTACTATATGTTTACAATGTGGCCATACACATACTAACGCTTACAACGCTTACAGTTCGTAGATAAGTAAGTTATACCACGCGGTAAAGGTTGCCAATTGTTGGTAAGAGCTCTGGTCATTGGGTAATCGTTTGCTAACGCAGTTGGCTTAAGAGTAAGGGTGTTTAGAGCACGTTACGTAATGGGTTTAGCACAGTGGTATAAGTGTTGGTAAAAGTTTTAGCTAAAGGTTAAAAGGTGATTAGCACGTGGGTTCATCACTCAGCAAATCATGAAAATGTTTATGCTGAATTGGGAATAAAGATCCGACTCACTCGCCGATTGCCTCGAAGAGGTGGGCGAATTCTTGACGCTTCGCGTATCCCCACCAGCCCATCCAGAACGATCAGCAGGGGAGTTGGTGAATCAGGGGCGGCAGAACGCATGCAGTCGCGCAGCCGTCTTCGAGAACACAAGCATCACACATAGCTTCCCGCATTTAAGTTTAAGATGGAAATGCGTGCAAATGTCGATGGTGCTTCGATGAGAGGTGAAGGGTATTTCGATGACTCGTAATGGCTGTTACACTGATTTGTATCTTCAACTCGCGTGCGTTCCGAAACTTGGAGGCATCTTGGGGCCCTCGATCGGGTCGAGCATCAGGTCGAGCATCAGGTGTTCGGCCCAGGGGCAAAGTTCGATCGGATCGAACATCCCATTTTGCCCACCATGGCGGGCAAAATCGGACCAGATCGAACGTAGCTCTGGTGGGCAAAATCTGATCGAACAGAGCTACCGATGCGAAAAGATCGATCTGTCGATCTGTTCGATCTGATCGATCTGACCGGACCAGATCGTACATAGCTCTTGGGGCCCTCTTCGGAACCTCATGGGCGCCTTCTTGAACTCCCTGGTAAGCTCTTCGGCGATTCGGAAAGCCTCGGGCGCCCCCTGTAACAGGCTCCCGAGTGCCCTGACAGGGCTCCAAGAGGGCTCCAAGAGGTCCCCCCAAAGAGACACAAAGTATACGCATGAGTGTTCCTCTTTTGGGGGTGCCTTTTGGCCCTCCCTCGGGCCCCTCATCGGGCCTTCTTGGACTTCCTGGTGGGCTCTTCGGCGATTCGGAAAGCTTCGGGAAGACCCTGAAACAGGCTCCAGAGGGCCCCGAAAGAGCTCCAGCAGGCTCCAAGAGGGCTTTAAGAGGGCCCCCCAAAGAGGCACAAAATAAATGCACGAGTGTGCCGCTTGTTGGGGTGCCTTTGGGGGCCCGCTGGGGCCTCTCATCGGGCCTTCTTGGATTCTTCGGAAAGCCTCGGGAGCTCCCCGAAACAGGTCCCAGAGAGCTCCGAAAAGGGACCAGAGGGCCCCCCAAAGAGGCACAAAGTATATGCACGAGTGTGCCTCTTGTTGGGTGTCATTCGGGGCCCACTGGGGCTCCACCAGTTCGATAAGATCGAACATAGCCCTGCAGGGCTATGTACGATCGGATCGGACATCAGAGTTTGCCCAGCGTGGCTATGCTCGATCGGATCGAACATCAGATGTTGCCCACCAGTGCTATGTTCGATCGGATCGAACATCCGAGTTTGGGCCCAGGGGCCGTGTTCGATCGGATCGAACATCCGATGTTGGTCCAGGGGGCCATGTTCGATCGGATCGGGCATATTGTTGTTGTTGGTGTTATTGTTGTTGTTGTCGTTGTTGGTGTTGCTATTGTTGTTGTTGGTATTGTTGTTGTTGCTGGTGTTGTTGCTGTTGTTGTTTTGTTGTTTGTTTTTCTTGCCCAAAGAAATCACCAGGCCCAAAATTGACCCCGTCCAGAAGCAGTCGCGGCGACGCGAGAGGATACACGCTTTTTTCAATTTCATCAAGACCGATCGCCTACACGGAACCCGCTCACGGGGTCCACGTTTGCCGAGTGAGTTCAAACCTTATTGCCGACCCCGAGGCCCCTAGGGTCTCGGAGGAGGAGCGGCATGACTCAGATGATGGGGATGTCTAAAAGATGATGAGATGGGGAGTGAGATGACTATGATGATGGGTAACTATGATGGGATGAAGAGCGGGGTGAGCAGGGAGAGGAGAGGGTCTCGAGTTTGTTCAATGCCGATCACTGATCTTGTGCCATATTGGAGACCATCGTGCGCTCTCGGAAGTCCTCTTGGAACCATCTTGGGCCGCCTTGGACGCTGCTACGGGCCCCCCCCCCACGCCGTCCAAACGCAGGGGAGCGGGAAGCGCCCATGGGCCCACGTGAATCCCAACCCTTTGCAGAGGGTTGGGATTCACGAATCAAGGTCTCGCGCCGAATACATACTGGCTCGAGCCATTTTGGCTTCCCCTGGCTGCAGCCTGCAGCTAGGGGCCTGAACTAGATAGATCCCTGATCTATATGCTTCTGGCCCTTCCGATCTCCCCTGGGATTCCCAAGAGGGGCTCATGTCCAACGCTCTTTCGTTGCCCTTGCGGGGCCTTCTTGGACATGGGCAGCTCTTGGGAATCTCGGAGGAGCTTGGAAGCGCCAGCACCAGATATATCAGAGAGTTATCTAGTCGTTCGGCCTCTTGGGTCGTGCAGCAGGGGCGCGCAGCTGCAGGCCCCTGCCGCGCGCCCCCGCTGCGATGGCAGCGGCGGCAGCCGCCGAGCAGAGCTCCGAGGCGCTGGGCGCCATCAAGGAGCCGATGCATCGCATCCTCATGCGCTACGCCGACGACGGCGAGGTCACGAAGGCGTGGGAGGGCGACGCCGAGCTGCTGAAGCAACACCCGTCGCTCCTGTGGAAGACAGTTGCACACCCGACGCAGGTCGGCGTGCACTGCAGCAACCGCGGCACGCTTGGAGTCGTGGTGTTTGGGGCTGCGCAAACACACGCAGTCCTGCCCCTGGGTGGAGGCCCACCCAGGTGCAGGGCTGTCATGTGTCATCTTCCTCATGTGTCATGTGCCCCATAGGGGGCGCGTGACACATGAGGAAGATGAACAGTGATAGGATACATGATCGGATCAGGATGACAAGAAACACACACTTGAAGATACGAGCGGTAAGGGGGAGGATGAGGGATGAGGAGGAGCGAACGTGAGGATGGTGTGTCAGGATCAGGAATACTACGACGATGAGGGTGCACATAGGCTGAGCGATACGGACGAAGAGAGATGATGCCGATGGTGGAGATGATGATGATGGTGAGGATGTGTAAACTGATGAGGATGCGATGTAAGATGCTTGAGAATACTATACTAACACGTTAACCCCAAACCTAAACAATGTAATGAGTCTAACAACCTGGTATTCTCAAATCGAAATCGTTGGTCGACACCAGTCGGCCAACCATTCCCAAATCGAAACGATTGGGTGACGTCTGACAACCTAGTGTTTCCAAATTGAAATTATTGGACAGTGTAACCCATAAATCATTACAATGCCCAGGTTGCCGACGCCCTCAGCACCTTCGTGAAACACTACAGATCTGGTTATTCATACACGAAGGCGTGCGAGGGCGCGCGGGCAGTCAACCTTCCCATGGGTTCACCAGAGTACACGCGCGTGCTGGAGTTCAATGATCGGATCTGCAGAACTGCTGGTTTGCCGCCCTCCACATCGCTCAGTATGGCCTCGTTCAGCGGCTCGCACAGCAACTACTACTTGCGCTGCATCGGCGCACAGCTACACGTTCCGAATGCTACGATCGCCCCGTCTGGCTTCTTGGACCCAGAGTTCCTGTGCCGCAAGCACCCGCAGATGGAGAAGGCCATCTCTCGAGGTCTAGAGTGGCACGTCGTATCGAGCGAGGTTGTGGATTTCTTCCCCAGCTTCATCGGCTTGGCACAGATGGCGCTCAACACCCGCGGGACGGGCGACGTCAGCGAGATGGAGGGCTTGCTGACGCTGTTCGGTACGTATGAGGCCATGGCAGGACGAGGCGAGGATAAGGCTCGCGCGATCGAGATTGCCGTCTGCGACTCTGTTCAGAACGAGCCCTTCTGGGCTGCCTGGGCGAAGGGCCTGGGCAAGTTCACGGAGAAGTGCAGCAGGGAATTGCTTGAGGAGTGCAGCGACTTGCGGGCTGCAGCGTTCAAGGCTACTGATGGGTCGATGAAAATATGGTGAGTAGGAGGAGTCGGATGAGTAGGCATGAGCGAGGTCGACGCCGCGTGCGCAGGACAGCCGCAGCCTTGAG